CTCTTCTGTGTGTGAGGTTTCAGGGAAATCTTTAGGTTTTCAAGGAGATGAAGATAAAGTTCGCAGGTCACGTATATTAATCACACTTGCATTACAGTAAAATTACTAGTGTCATGCTATTAATTTTGGCCTTTATTACACATCATGATTAAACCATTTGCCACCTTCAGTTGGCTTTTGATTCTACAACTATTTCAATGAATCACCAGAGATGTTTGAGAGATTTCAATATATCTTCACATCTAGAGAAAGGCTCTGAAATCCTAAGTTTTGAGTATTTGACTTGCAGCTAAGTTAGTTACCTCTTCAAGCCCTACCACTTATATCATATTAAAGGGGTTGATCTATTCAGGGGTTTTATGCAGAGGGGTACATAGGAGGGTCAAATGGGGGATGCTCTTGCAGAAGAGACATCAATAAATCTGCACAGGAAACCATCTTAATATATAGGATATGTACATCTCTCTCTGTTCACTAATTTGCGTCAACCTTTGCTTCTACATTCATAGTTGCTGATCGATCTTTTAGCTTACGACAAATTATCCATTACTAATAAAAACTATACTCAGTTGTCTGTTATTGAGTAACAAATTGTATGTGCGGTAAAAATAGTAAGACCAATTCATCGGATTTGTATCAGAGTTTAAGATGAGTAAGCAAACTCTAATATTGTCTCTGCTGTACAAAATGTCTTCCCTGCTTCCAAGACGGAGAAAAGCCTATTCACTGGTTGTTTAGTGTACTATACTGAAGCTTCTAAACAGCAATGGAGTATGTACTCACCTTTTGCGTGACCAGTGGACCTTTCTTCGTTTTTCCAGCTTGCGAATCGTCTGGTAAAAGAAGGAAAACCAAAGCACAGATAGCAAACGTAACTACTGCTGCAATTTTCATGATTCTGAGGGCACGAAAAGTCATTCAATTCTCCGAAACACCACTACAATTAAACTACGGGAATGAAGGAAAAGTTGCAGTAATGCTTTGCGCGGATAAGAACCGGAAGTAGTTCGGCAGTAAAGCAGATACAAGCTATTCAGTAATTCATGTGATTTTAACTGTAGTTATCACGTCAATATTTTATTATTTAAAACAATTGAGGAAATAAAATAGCAATTTTATAAAGCAATTATTTCATATAGTATAGCTAGGCCGTCTAAATCACTGGCAACGAATTCTGACTGCATAAATAACTGCCACGTTTAACCAGGAATAGAACAAATACCAGTTCCCCTCGACCTTCATTGTACAAAGCTCGGACAGTTGTCGAGATGCAATTGGTTGTAAATAACCTGGAATACGATTGGTCCACGCTCGTTTAATTCACCTCATTCAAATTTTCTGGTGCTGTATTCACGGAAAGCGGCGGAACGAAAATGGCTCTCTTCGTTTTATTTTTCGTGGCCATGGCGTGCGCGTGCTTCGGCGCTAAAGCTAATAAAGACGACATTGTCACAAGGAAGGTGTTCTTCGACATAGAGATCGGAGGCCAGAAAGAAGGGAGAATTGTGATTGGGTTATTTGGAAAAGTGGTTCCCAAGACTGTGGATAACTTCTATGCACTTGCAACCCACGAGGTAAGATTAGATTTTGTAGAAAGACTCAAAAGATGTGAATAGTTAATAAAATGTGAAGTTTTGATTCAATAAATTTTAGGGCACACAGAATTTTTACTCACCAGACGAGACCCAAAATCTAGTTTTTATTGCGTGCATGCATTGAAAAATGTATCTGCACCAAATTTACTTGCTATTGAGCCTTTTCCGTGGAGTGAAGTGGCGATTATTCAATCAAGGATGTTGCCCTCCCCGACGACAAGTTTTTTCACTTTGGTTCTCTCTGTCTCTTTCTCTTTCTTTCCCTGTCTCTGGCTGAATTAGGAAGAGACACCTTGGGGACGATAGTGATGATGAGCCAATATTTGCATTATAATAATGATGTGAGCCTGGGTATGGACACAATGTTTTACTCAGCTTACTGTGTCATCAAAATGTCTACATGGCTTGTGTTTTAGTTGAAATTCAAGTTTGAGCACAACAGCTCATGTCAACATTATTCAAAAGAAACTTTTAAAATGATGCTTTAAGTAACAATGTCATGTTGCACAAATTGATATGATTGGTGGTATTGTAGCATTACAGTAATGACAGTAATGTAAAACTGTATAATAACAAGTGCAATTTTTATTTCCCATATGCAGAAAGGCTTTGGATACAAGGGTAGCATTTTCCACCGTGTCATTAAAGATTTTATGATTCAAGGTAGTTCTTTTTCAAACCAATTTTAAAAGCATGATTATTCTGTTCACTGTGTGATTACAGTAATGTACATGTATATTATTAAGTACTTATTTATACTTGATATCTCATATAGGTGGTGATTTCACAAATGGGGATGGAACTGGCGGTGGGTCTATTACCTTTTTTTCTTTAATCAATATTAATTTGTTTGAATTGGAGAAAGCCACAAGCAAAGCATAATTACTGATATATTATGTGTCCACTCTCCCATTTTTTCAGGGAATCCCCCTCATCTCCATGCAGCATGAGCTTACTTAATTGTTTGGTTTAAGCCAACTGAATTTGCATGTCCTTTTTTATAAATTAAATGGGTGCTAATTAGATTATTTATGGTAATCTTATCCATTAACCTCTCTAGGATACTGTAAGACAAGTCTTGCAACATTGATTATGTGTTAAATATATGAGCAAGTGTGTTTCAGGCAAAAGCATCTATGGGGATCGTTTCAAAGATGAGAACTTTAAGTTAAACCATAATGGCCCAGGCTGGCTGAGTATGGCTAATGCTGGTAAAGATACCAATGGCTCACAGTTCTTTATCACAACTGTAAAAACTTCTTGGCTGGATGGACGACATGTTGTATTTGGGAAAGTGTTGGAAGGCATGGTAAGAAATGTTTTGATGTTATAGTGTACCGTCTCCAGTTTTCTGAACTAAAAATCTATCCATGATTTTGATATTTGATAGTAAACTGAATTTTGTGAAAAAGAGGCAACTTATTTGAGAGGTGTCATGTTTTTGTGGACAACTCACTATTTGACCTCTTCAGAGTATTGCTTGCAGCAATTGTCACATTACCATATTACAGGGGTGATTCAACTCAAATTTCCATTTCTGAAAAAAATGAAAAATTGAAGGTTGATTTTAAGGGGTCTGTTTTTCACCCAATGGCATTTGATATTTTGAAACTAAGTTAGTTTTAAATGTTAAACTTCTTAAGTTGAAAAACTTTAATTCATACAAAGGTGGCTCAGTTTGTGAAAGAGGTAAGGTAGAGTCAGATAGAGAGAGTTTTTGAACAGGACCCAGATTTTCTTTGTGAGCTCTACCAATCCTCCTTCCTTTTCACTTTGAGCACTGCATATGGTCACACTCTGTTTCCTAACTGAATACTTGAAACAGACTGTTCATCTCACTTCCTTCCTTACACTTTTAAGGTGTCAAATATTCTATTAGCCTGGAATCTGTCTGTGCTTTGAATGCTGACATGCATTATTATATTTACTTTACCAGGATGTTGTCAGAAAAATAGAGAAAACAGATACAGATACCCGTGACAGACCAGCTAAAGATGTCAAAATAGCAGACTGTGGTTCAATTCCGGTGGAAAAAGATGACTAATTATTCATCATAGCATAAAATGTTTGACATTGTTTGTGTAGTGTAGATTTTTTTTAGCTGTCTTAGCAGTCTTTTAAAAGTCATGTAAGTGTGCAGAATGTATTGGAAATTAACAATGTATGATCATGTGAAATTTGTTGTGGAAATCTTTCCAGGTATCAGGTTATCCTAAAATCCCACAATTTTTTTATCCCTCTAGTGGCTGTGGTAGATCTATTTAAATCATGTTTAGAAACTATTGTTACCACATGTATTTTCATAATTGGAGGCCCCCAAAGGTATTCGCTGTTTCTTGGAAACCTGGAATAAAACTTGTCCCTAAGTGAACAGGTGTGTTTGATTCCTTATGATACTGGTTTGAAAAGTTTTGATCTATCTCAAGGTTGAAAACAAGTAGTAACCTCCCATCCTGTTTTCCTCTGATCACCTCAGATTAAATCACCCTAGATGCCTGAAGTATTTGGTTGTTTTCCCCCAAGAGTTTTCTGCTCGTCGTATTGTAGCATTAACACAAATTAAAAGAAACCAACAAAATCTCAAACCGATATGGTTTGCAAACATGTTCACCTGGCCTATTGCTGTTTGAAAATCATTAAAATTAAATGGAAGAAATTCCAAGCTCTGCACAGGTGCCTAACCCTTTAACCTTATTAAATCCTTTAGATTTCACTCAAATTTGATGAATGTTGCACCGAATTCTACTTGGCTGCTTTAGTGACAAGTCTGCCTATTTTTGTTTATTGTTTTCTCTCTCTCTTTCCCCCACCTCCCCTTTGATGTCACTGTACTTCACTTTTTGTCTACATGCAAGCAGCTCAAATGCGTTGTTTATTGTTTATACCTATGCGGTATTTATTTGAAGTAACAAGGATGCTTATTTGGGCAATGGAATTGAGTGAAGTCGATGATTTTTAAGACTCCTTTCTATTCCCCTTACGTTGTCATTTAGTCAGTGCAGTCGCCCTGATATGGCTGGTAATCCGGCCATAAGCAATGCAGGCTTTTTGAAAGAAATCATTCTGTTCTGCTGGCTCTTCGTCACTTCACAACCACATGATTGTTTAATAGGGGTTTATTCATTTTCCAGTTTCGTTTCCTTCTAATACTGTTATTTCGTGACACAGGAGCGGAATTTGTCCTCTGGAACATTTAGTCAAGGGATGTCACGGTTTTTGAAGGAACAAAATCACTAAACACCCATGAAACTGTCAAAATGACCAAATGAAAGTGAGTCAGACATATGCGCTTAAATGTACACTTTGCGTATGGTTTCGAAAAATTTCACACCGATTGCGGATTGTGCACTAAGAACAGAACATATGTGAGAACAATCTCCATTGATAAAAGACAGACAAATAAGGGTACAGAAGGTCATTGATCAGCTAACGCATACGTGGCAGTGAATTTGAGACCATTAAACGTGGACTAAATCTAATCAGCTGCACCGAAGAAAACGAGTTGTCTTTACTTGTCCCATCCACTGAACTGCAGCGATTAGTTGTCCAACGTCCCTGTTCAAGATGATCCCCATTTTCATTTTAGCCGTTTGTTTCGTACACACGCTTTGTGCTAGCGCGGATTCCGATGCTTTGGTGACAAGTAAAGCATACCTTGATATCAGTATTGGAGACAAAGCGGTGGGAAAGATAGTGATAGGGTTATTTGGAAAAACTGCCCCTAAGACTGTAAAAAATTTTGAGGCTCTGGCTTCACATGAGGTAAGTAAAAACTATTTTGGTTCGGAAAACATGAGATATCGCATTATTTTTCGGAGTGAGCGTAGCCAAACAATTTCGTCTATGGGGTGATCGTTACATTCAAGTGTGAGAATATTTTGCTGCCAGTACCTCGATCTTTCCTTCCAGCATAAAATATACAGTTTTGTTTATGTCGCATGTACTCTGTATTGGAATCCTGAAATATTGAAGATAACAAGCCGCTCATGCCGTTGTCCCTTGCCAAGCAAATTTTTTCGATTTCGACCTCGACGCACCTTAAAGTGATAGACAGAGGCCTTTGTGGCAGACATCGATGCGAGGTATCAAAGGCGAGGCCTACCGCGTTCATTCTCTTTCATTCATTCAACCGCCGACTCGTGTATTGTTATACTTTCGCGCTTCCTAAGAAAAACAAAAAGGTCCCTTGATCGCCTGTTAACGCAGAGGAGTTTGATATCGACAAAGATCTTTGTTTGTGTACGGATGATGGGTTCTTTGTATTACAACTCAGATTCCAAGTTGCTGTCCTCCTTGGTCTGTTGAACGTATGCAAAGTGAGAAAGTTATTACTTGAAGGAAAAATTGAATGAATTGAATGAATAAATAGGAAAATGAATGCGTATATTTCAGTAATTAGGTTTAATTCTTTTTCCCATCTGATAGTTTGGCTATGGCTACAAAGGAGCTACTTTTCATCGTGTGATAAGGAATTTTATGATACAAGGTGAGCTGAAACACCTGCAGTTTCCTCAGTCCTTATCTCTCAATATTGTTGATGAATCTTTGCTCGTCGTTAAAGTCATCTCGCAGGCGCTCTTTGGGTTGTCACGCAACGCTGCTGTACTTTGGAGGGAACAATTACTCTCTTCAAAGTCGATCACTTCTCTTTTTTTGAAGGGGTGGGTGGGTAAAGTAAATTATCACTTATAAGGGAAGCAGAGGGGGACGGGGCCTGTTTCCGTTCCTGAAAATTCACGCATCGTGAGTATATTAAACAGTTTATCACGTGTCACGAATTTAAAAGAGAAAACATCAAATCTCACTTTAACTTGCCTTTATGTAAAATTCACGCGACACGTATTTACTTTGGGCTTAATCAAGCGTCACGAATAAATCCTTTGCCACTCTCAGTTGTACAAAAATGTTATTATTAATATTATTATTATTATCATCATTGTTATTGATATTATTAATAGTTTAATTTCAAAACCAAAGCTAGTTTTCTAGGTTTCTAGAATCACCTTAACTTACTAGCCAGTTATAGGCGCAATCAAAACTGAAAAGGATGAATTGAATATTTCTAAACCCAATGGACTTCTAGACCTAGAGACACGGTTAAAAAAAGACCTCTATTGCTTTCCCTCTCTCTCTCATGTATCTTGTTATGATGTAACAAACCTCTTCTTTGTTCATGTCACATGACGCATGGGTGCATCAGTCACGCATCTACATGTAGCCACCTTCTCTCAATTTTGCTTACGTTAAGTGACTTACTTGGCTTACCAGTTACGGCAGTAGTCAAAACCTACAGTGACGACTTAAAATACTCAATCAAGACGTGTCATCCGAGCCGTTCCATGTGGTGGTCCATTTCGGAAGATTAACACCGAGATTTCACAGTTACGCCGGCCCCATGGCGTGTTGGATTGAGTCCGTGCGAATTGTTATGGCAACTGGCCTGAGAAACAGTAACATTTCTCTCGGTGTCATTTCGTTTCCAGTATGTCTTGTCCTCATCTCGACCGAGTGGTACTTTGTACTAATATGATTGACACGAAAATCTTTTACAGATTATTATTTACGCGCACTTTGTTTTGGATTAAAATGGTTGCCACAGTAACCCAGGTAAGCCTCTTGACTCTGAAAAATATGTTATCGTGAATCCCTACCTTGTCGGTTTTTCCTGAGCGTACTTATTTGTTATTCTGTTGTGCTGTTACAGGAGGAGACTTCTCCAACAGAGACGGATCTGGATGTAAGTCAATTAACTTGAGCCTTGTAACAAACCTCAGTCGATTTCTAGAAAATTTGAAAAGTAGCACGTCATAAATATTCTAGGTAAAGTCGAAAAGGACAATGGCCTTGTACATGGATGCTTTTGAAAGCTGGTCTCTTGCAGCTGCAGTGTGTTTAAATACTTTAAACATCAGTCAAGGAAGCTATTGTCCTGGTTGCCATACGAAATTCTGAGCGAGCGTTAATTCAGGATAAAACTGTCAACAAAGCTACTAATCAATCAATCAATAAAACCAGTGATTGATAGATTGATCCATCGTTCAGTCAGCCAGTCGGTTTGTAAGTCAATGTGTCGGTTAATCATCCAATAGCCTGTTTTTCTGTTTGTGTGTCCATCAGTCAGTCAGTAAGTCAGCCTGTCGGTCAGCCAGTCAGCCAGTCAGCCAGTCTGTCAATCAAACTTTAATCATACAATCGGACCTCAAGAGTTGTAGGTTTTCCTCAGAGTAAACAGAGTTTGCATGTGTAGTATTTTAACTTTTGAATTTTGATGTTTTCAGCTAAGAGCATCTATGGCAAGTACTTTGATGACGAGAATTTTATCCTGAAGCATTATGGGCCGGGTTGGGTGTGTATGGCGAACGCCGGCAAAGACACCAACGGCTCACAATTTTACATCACAACTATTAGGACGTCGTGGCTGGATGGCAAGCACACGTGTTTTGGAAAAGTTCTGCAAGGAATGGTAAGTTTATCTTTATAATTTTGCTGACCGCGCGCTTTTGGTCACAAACTTGATACCAGGACAAAATACAAAGTGCGCATGACAGCATACAGATGGATCAATCATGTTGAGATAAGAGCGTTAAGATTCTAAGTTCAGAGGTTGACTAATAGAGAGATTTAATTCAATTTCTAAGGTTTTCGTCTTTTGAGGTTAAAGAGGTTAAACATTAGGGTTGAAGAGTAAAACTTTCGATACGAGGTCTTTAGTTAGCCTTTTATAATAATTTTTTGTGCTATCCTAGCTTATTTAGGGTTTAAGTGTCTTAGGGAAAAAGAAAGGAAATGAAATGACTGAATCAATGAATGAAAGTTTGCACCCCCTTCCTCCATCAAAAAATGCTGGGATCAGCCTTCACTGTGGCATAAGGTGGGAACGTAGGGGCATTATATTCATGTAACATCTTCCTTACTCAAGCGGGATCTTTGAACTCACCATTAGGTTTCCTTGGGATGACTGTTCCATTTGCTTGGTGTTTACTCAATGTGAACACATTGATTAATTTACACAAGGTTGCGGAAATTTTTCTGAAAGAGCTTTCTTGTCTCCTGACTCGCTGTATTTTCTCCAGCATGAGATAAATATTAGTATATTTAGAAGAACGCGTTCGCACATTTCCCTGGTGTCAGATTTATCAAAAAAATTTTACATACCGATTGTTGGTAATGGATAATCCTCCGCTCTCTCCTAATAGAAAGTTGTCAAACACATTGAAGGACTTAATACTGACGAAAAAGATCATCCAGATCAGACGGTGGTCATTACTGATTCTGGTCTCGAGGAAGGTTTCAACTGGCCTTTTAAAGTTTCCAAGACGGGTGTGTCTGTGTAGTGGGGCTGTTCAGTGTTTCATGGTTTGCATTTAGAAATTTCAGGTTTTTTTTAGCCTATTTTTAAGAAAGTGGCGCATGTATCAGCTATGTAAAAGTATAGAGGTGAGAGACATTCACGTCTCGGCTCGAAAAATTAAAAGAGACACCGTAACACCATGTATTTCTGAAAGCTTAATAAAATGTTCCACAACATCCTATTACCAGGAAAACTTCACACTTCCTTAGTTTATCTTATCTTGGTTTGTTCTTAAAAAGGATAGGACGAAAATCTTAGTGAAGAAACTATTTTCATCGGAAACAAAATGAAAAAAAAAAAAAAAGAAAAATTGAAATTAAAACTAATGAATTTATGCCCAGAATATCGGTTGAAGCTTTATCTGACCATAATGATTTTAGCTGTAACTTACAAAAATCTTAAATGGTTTAATTTTGGATTGCGAGTTTATCTTACGAGACTATAAGGATTGTGATTTACCAGTAATATCACTTTTTTAATCCTAGTTTCGTGTCTGCTATCCTTGACTTCGATCTAGTTCTGTTGAAAAATTAGATTAGTAACAAGTAGTTTATTAAGGGTGCTTCAGAGGGAGAGACAGTAGAGACTAAGGGTACCGGGCTGGGGGAACACCTGTTTGTAGGGGTTAAAAACCGAGAGACCTGTCGTCGCTAATGCTGAGATTGCTGTCAACAAAAGATATGTCGCCTGATACTTTTCACCAGCGAACTGACTGTTAAAAATACCCCTTCATGTTACCTTGACAGAACCTGTCACACGTGTCATTAAAAATTAATACTTTTTATTCTTATCTCTGCCTCTTTGTCGTTTGCTTCTTAAAAGGCGAGAGCATTCGATTTTGTAGTTAGTTTTCAACCATGATTTTGCGAGGGCTACTGATATATGTGCTTTTCAATGCTGTAAAAGCCGAGTCTGAGACGACGGTAACTCGCAAAGTGTTTTTCGATGTTTCCGAGGGAGGACAACCTATAGGAAGAATTGTACTTGGTTTATTTGGGAACACAGCTCCTAAAACCGTCACCAATTTTGTATCTCTCGCTGGAAATGAGGTTTGTTCAAAAACGATATTTTTAAAATGTTTTATCATGAAGTTACTTCCTCAGTAGTTAACATTCGTGCAGGGTTGGATATATTTTCTTTCCATCGTCAGTTGCATGGAAATATTATCGTCGACTAAAGCGATCAGGCACGGAACCCTTGCAGTGAATGACAGCAACATGATCATGTAATACCTTTATATTTGATAACTGAATATCATAATGCGAGCCAAGTAGAGTTTTAATTCAATAATATAAAGCTTAAAAAAATTTTTTTCCTAGGTTAACATAACTCTCTAAACAATCTTTATTCTGTGTTTTGAAATACGTTGTTGACGTTATGTGATGTTTATGAAATAAGTAAGACACTATAAGCGCTTTGAGATTGTCAAAAACCTCTCTTTTTTGCATTGATAAACTCATATTTAGTTTATGAAGCAATAGACTGCATTTTATATCGGTTTAACGGTGTAGTGACCCACGCGAGATGTTGGGAGAATACGAGATTCGACTAGTGATTTACAAACTTTTCGTTTTAGCGTTTAAGCGTCAAAGCGCTTAATTACTTGGTTGCATACAAAATATCTTTTCGCGACGTTAATCAATGGTATGTTTTGTCGTACGCTTTCAGGCGATTTTGTTTCGTTGTACTAGAGCCAAACTAATTGGCTTAAACAATCAGAACTAATGTAAATTTACGACCCTGAAACACTTGCTGGTTCACAAATCACACTTGTTTCCACGGAAGACTATTTCAGAACACACAAACTCAAATGTCTCGTGCACCTGGACCATAGAAACGCACATTACTGTCAGTCAACACCTAGCAACTTATGTAACGCGATTTACAGTACAATAAACGAACAAAACACAAAACTGGAAGCGGGAGGCACAACAAATGTCAACATCAAAAGGAGGTATCAAGGGTTCAAAATGAATTAAGCAACTTCAGGCGCAAGAAAACGCCGATGTTTAGGTATTATGGGCTGTTGTGGAGCGAGTTATGTCAACCAATCGAAGAGAGCAGTGAAGAAAAGGGTTACTTCCGGTACTCAATTCCAAACTGCTTTGGTATTCAAGAATTAACTTTACTATATAAACTTTCAACTTTATTTTCAGTATGGTTATGGCTACAAGGGCAGTACTTTCCACCGAGTGATTAAAAACTTTATGATCCAAGGTTTGTCAACACATTTGCAATCAGAAAAGTGTCGAGATTCGGCAACAATGTCTATTTCTTCTATAATTGATGGCAGAATATCTGTCTTGATGAATAACTTTTTGAAGTTAAGTTGTAAAGTCCTCGATAATTGAGAATTAAGAGAGAAATGTTTAACCAAAATTCGAAGCACCTTTTTTTTTCTTTTTTTAATTTGAAATTAGTGGGAGAATGCGTTCAAAAATTGAAGATGGTTACATTTTACGGTAAACAAACCATAACCTGGACAATTGACTCAAACACTTACATGGTTAACTATCAGACTCGATCCCAGTCCTTCTAGAAAGGTTTTGAAGAGAGCTCATAGCATCAAGAGATGGATACATTTTTTGAGTTTATTCAAACCTTTAAGCGCACCCTGCAATTATCACCAGAATATTCCTCTCTAGTGTTAAATTGCCTTTAAACAACACATACTGTTTTGTGATTAGCGGTCGTTGGTGACCTCTGTCACAAGAGTATCGTTTAGTTGAATGAAAACTTCTGTCGATACACGTGGGAAAGTGTTTTCGGACTTGTGCTAACATAAGAGAGAGCATGCGTTAAATTCCTTGTGACATGAACAAAGTAGAGAGTGATCTTTCACGGTGTCCTTTTCACAGAATTGAAGACGTCTGATCTAAAATCTTCACCTCCATAAGCTATTAAAAAAAAATGAACGAAGAGATCATCAATAAATCTCTGTCATGCTTTTCCCTTAAAGTAACACTTTGTCAAATTGTCGCTTGAAATCCGCATCAAAAAACTATCCAGGAACATCTGATAGATGTTCAATTAATGACGACATCCGAGAGTCCCCATAATTGTTTTGCTTCTTTTTTCTACCAGGGGGAGATTTCACTAAGGGCGATGGCACAGGAGGTAGGTAAAAATTCTTACTCGTTGATGATCCGTTCCTTGCTGATGAACGGATTGTTTGACTTATCAACATATGTATACTGACCTGAAATTCGTAATCTACGCCAGTGGGTCGTTTTCAGTTCACGTAATACGAACACATATCGGATTCTCCACTCTGAGTTGAAAGCCCTCACCCTCGATTCTCCTTCTCCCGATTTTGTTTCATGCTTGAGATAAAATACTGTCTCTAACCCATTCAAAATGTGAAAATGATGAAAATGGACCAAAGACGAAGCGTTATGGCATATGACTTAGTAGGTCTTACCCCCCCTCTCTAAGACAGCTGGATAAATAAATGAGGTCTCTGGAATACCAATAACTGGCAATTTAAAACTCGAGAAACCCCTCTCCTTTTCAAGTAAATCTTGCAAGAGGAGGGTAACCGTTTCGGACAGACATTGCGGCGTATAGATTCCTCCCGGCAAAAGGCGGAGGGAGAGAGTGAAGATACAAATAGACACTAAGTTATTTTCTATCTGAAGGAAACCGAGTCAGTAAAAACTCAGCACGGTAATAATTCATGTTTTCCGTCATCCAGGATATAGTATCTACGGAGACAACTTTAATGACGAGAACTTTGTTCTAAAGCATTATGGTCCCGGCTGGCTATGTATGGCGAACGCTGGCAAAGATACAAATGGATCACAATTTTACATCACCACTATCCAGACACCCTGGTTAGATGGCAGTCATACTTGCTTCGGAAAGGTCTTGGAAGGAATGGTAATCATAATTTCATGTTTCCTCTTGTTGTCAAATGTCAAGTTCCCCTAAACTCATTTAGTGCTCCAATGAACCTTATTATTTTGCGCCAGAAGGCATTTCCTTTTGTTAATTTCAAAAATTTCTTGGTCCTTTTTTTTTTTGCAGGATGTAGTAAAGAAAATCGAAGGCGTTCAAACGGGCCAAAACGATAGGCCAGTTCAGAAAGTAGAGATTACACAGAGCGGCGTGATTGATGTACCGACGCCATTTGAAGTCGCTAAGGAAGGAGTTAATGTTTAAAAACTTTTTTTTATTGGTAATAGTGAATTGATTGATGTTGTTACAAAATTAAAGGACGATCCGTTTTCTTTATAGCCTGACTGCATTTCCTCTATTCGTCCATAGTTTATGGAAGAGTTTTTTTTTTTAAAAAATCATCCCACGTTAATTCCAGTAAGTGCTATGTCGTAAATCTGTAAAGGGAATCTCGTTATAGAAAATGACTGGTCAGGTTCTCTTGGAAAGACAGAATCGCTAAAAAAATGCTACTGAACATAATTTGTTATGAAAATTTATTTTACCCAAAATAATGATTTAAAAATGATTTCCGGAAAATACGGTAAAATTAAAAAAAGTCACATGAAAGTATTCTTAATCACCTTCAAATTGAAAAAGGACTGAACTTAGAAGTAAAGGATCTAAGCCTTTGAGTTAATTTCACAAAAATCATTCTCATGTAAAAAAAAAGGCGCTAACTGAGAAATAAGCCCAACGAGTGTTGAGGAGTGCTCTTAAAGTAAGATGTCATCCTGTGATAGCCACATGATCTCTTCTCCTTGTTTCAACATGACTGACTTGGGGTACTGAAATCCGCTGACCACAAGTTTTTGCAAGAAAATATCACCTGACGTCGACAACATTTCAAACTTCATTGCTTCTTTGTCTATGACAGAGCATTGCAAAGTGCCTATGGCAAAGGGAGTGTAAAACGGAATTTTGTAAGGGCAAAGGAATTTAGGACTAAATGTTAGTGTAGCATTTGGCGCTGAGAAGTACTGGCCCGAGATCGCAAAAGGGATGTGCCACAGTACCATGTGGAAAGTGTAGTGCGAGGTGCACCATGGGAGACCATCAAGACCGTACCCAGACCCTGAATAGAGACCGTGAAAATCCCATTGGTCGTTTAGCTCGGAACGAACGTGGTCTATAGCTTTCTGTGCTTGAAGTGAGGCATCCTGAGGGTCAACACCTGGATTTTAACCAAAACAAATTTGATTTACATAGAGGAAACAACACCAAGTATTTAGTTACATTTTTGTTAGAACTCTGTCACTTTGATAAGTGATAATCATTAGTGTCATAACACCTGTCCCCTGTTTTAGGTAAGAAAGTGATCAAAACTGAAACAGTGATAATAATTTATATGTTTTTCTCAAAAATGGACACATCGGAACCTCCCTGATTATGGCTATGGGAGAGGTCATAGGTAATGCAATCTGGTCAGATCTCTTAGGCACAGATATTTGGAAACTTCGAGATTTTGTTTGTGGATTTCATGTAAAAACACACACACATGCCTTGGTAATCGGATAACATTTCAGAGATAAAGCGCAGAAGTTAAATTTAGCAACAGATCAGTCCGCTTGGCAGGCGTGCACTCCCCTATTTATTTTCACGATTAGTTTCTGGTAAAGACGTCGATTCTGAACCCAAAACAACCACATCCCCCGTAAATACAGACAATAGCCATCTGGCGCGAAAATGTGCACGGTTATTTGTCGGCGTACATTAATCTGTTCCAAGATGTGAACAGTTTTTCCGAAAATGAAGCTCGAGGAAAACTGTGAGAGTCGATATATCTCACAGGAACAATAATATCCTTTACACGAACATATTTTCGCACCACATGGAGGCTATTGTGTTTATTATATTTGAAATAATTTTGAAACGAGCAGGAAAGTGCTGACAAACCGCTTATTGTTTGCTGCGTGAGATACTCACTTTTCAGTGTTTCTGCTACGACTTAAGGAACAATCAGACATGTCCCTTTTTCCGTGACAACCGCCACACGTTCTCATATCTTGAATTACACTTTAACGAAGATTTTTCTTAATGGAAGCAAGGTTTGGAAAATGAGAAATGCCATTTGGGAATATTACCGGATGTTGAACCCTATCCTTACCTAGGTGAATCTGCAGAGTGGTCCAGTCAGGACTGCCGCCAATCCAAATTGACTCGCGTATAGCTACATGTTTGTTTAAGTCACTCGGTGAGATGTCTTGCGGACACGAGCCCACGCTCTTGTTAGTGGGGTGGCCAGTAAACATCACTCGCAGACCATATGGAGTGTCGTTAATTTCAAGTTCCTTGTTCAAATGCAATTTTAGCCTAAACAAAGTTTAACAAAGTTAAGCATCTCCAACCAAGCAGTAGGCTGAATATTGTAAAACGAAACATTCACCACAAAATTCCCGGCTACGCTACCCTTTACCCGCCCTCAAAGGTTCGAATCAGATCAAAGCCACTTGCAAATTGTTATCGCGGGGAAACTCGACTGAGGGGGCATACGTAACATCAAGAAAAGTATCTTCAAAAGCAAAGGTTATGGAAACAAAGCCTGGTATGAATATTTTCGGAACCAAAGTTTATATTCTGTAGATGAAAACAGATTAGCCAGAATCTTACGTCTTGTAAACTTTTAAACTTGACATGTGACCAAAATTTATCCCTCGTTTATTAACGCTTTTCTCACTGTACGCTGAGTTGGATGCAAGACGATAGCTCAAAACAGAGTTACTCAGATTGTATGAGACAAAAACATTTCAACGCACAATTAAAGAAACCTCTCTGATGGAAAAAGACTATTCCTCAATGTATACTTAGCTGCGGTTCCAATTTTATATCTGGGTATGGTTGTGCAGGATAAACCATGTGTTAAATTACAACACAACACATACCTAACAAGTTCCACAACCTACCTTCTTGGATCATCTAAGTGTCCAAGACCTAAAGTGTAGGCCCAAACTTGCGCGTATAGTGAATCACTCATCAGCCATGAAGGCGATCCAAGCTCTTTGTCCCACCAAGCATGATAGTAACCATCTTCTTCACTCCAAAGTTCTTCCGAGATAACATATTTTGCAAACTCCATGGCAATCGTAGCTTCCTTCAATACGTTCGAGTCTTGCATGATTCTACCTAATTCCTGTGCTGCCCGCAGCGAAAGCACATACATAAAACTGTTGAACACATTGTGATCGTAAAGGTTTAGAGCCTGTATATCGTATGTGCACTGCTGTTTATAGGGTAACCCAGTACCGTTTGTGCCTTTGTAAATCAGCCAATCAAGTGCATTTACGACGTGCGGCCATAAATCCCTTAAGAATTGACTATCGTTGGTCCACAAGTAGATGTGGTATGTTTCTATGATGAATACTGTTGTCACGTCCCCCATTATCCGCTGGTTTGGAGGCCCGCTAAGAAGAGAAAAGCTAAATTCAAGTTCGGGCAAAAGGCCACAAAACGCTTCACTTGAAATACTTCTATAGCTTTGTGACAGTGCGTTAATGTTAACAGTGCTAAAGGAAGAAGACGTCGGATTTTCCCTTCCTTGATATTCCTGTGTTGTCTACCTTTAAAGATTAACTTTATAACTATAGGAACATCAACACACTGCAAACTACAAATCGCGAAATACCTGAGCCTTGTTCGCAGAAAGTCGCTGTCAGAGTCGCAGCGTGTGCTAGCCAGCAACTTCAGAACATTTGATAAACTGTGATGCTGAAGAATCAGCCACACCGTGCTCATAATTACCTGTCCATTTTTCTGGTTGGCGAATAACAACCCATAACTAATGTTTCCACAATATGACCGTCCTCACTTTGGTACTTCGCCCATGCTCGCATCACTTTTTTGACCAAGTCGGGATAAAAAAGAACGTAAGGTATTTCTCGCTGAAAGTCATTATGGACGGAATCAATATCAATGCAGTCTAGAGCCTCAAATTGACGCCATCTTCCATCATGGAGATACAGCCCCGAGCGCCAGAAACTCAAACCATTCACAAGAACATCTTGTAACCACTCGGGCAGGGTCTGGACCGATTCATTGGTGGTGTCAATCATCATTGACGAGTGCCAGTAAGAAATGGACTGCAGAGTCGAAGCTAGGTCACTTGAAACAAGTAAAGCTGCTTCCTCGCTGGATTTGAAGATGTTACTGTAGTAATTACCAACGATTTCCACTGAGAAAAAAAGGGTGAATTAAAAAATGATAGCATAATTCGGTAAAACACATTTTGGAATCACTGCACACCTGTGAAATCTCTGTTCGGATAATACCATCCTAAGACCATCGTCAGTGTCTCTTCGTCACCAGGCCCCACAGTAACATTAATAGCCGTGGCTCCATGAAATCCACCATCAAATGATTTAGCTGTTGATTGCAGATAACCATGTGTACTAAACTGTTTCCAGATTCGACCAAAACTATCACTGACCATGAATGAAGGGCTATGCGATTTCTCAGTCACAATGGTTGTATTTCCACTCTGAGGGTAGTTACCAGGCCTATTGAGTGTCATCATTGAGTCATGAGCTTTCCACGTGTTCTTTTGACCAGAAGTAAAGCCCGGCTTCCAGTAGTGAGGGAAAGTTTTATTAAAGAGTAAACATGTTTTGTTCTTTGTTTCTGTTTGCCATGAGAAGCATTTAGGATCACTGGCACAAGCCTTAGAGCAAATAGTGGAATTAACTGTCGACATTTGTATACATTTATATGACTCCCCTTGTCTAGCTGTGTCTGTTTGAATTCCTAACGGTAAGTTAAACATTAATGAAACACTGACAGTTTTCTCTGTTGGGTTATTGATGCGAAATGTAAACGCCACGGCGGGGGTGGCTGACGTCTTGGAATCACGTGGTTTTAAAGCCGAATAGGCAAAAAGGTCCAGACCAACGTCCCCAAACTGTTCATCTCTTACGGTGAGCTTGGAGACTGGGAATGAGCCAGAATAACCCATGGAAGTAACACCTGTCGGAGTAGAGAAAAAATGAAGTCAGAAGAGGACGAGTCTGATCTGACAAAGAGCAATGGGGGAAACCACTTTGACGGAATTGCACTCATTTTTATGCATTTTGATTGGGTGTCTTAAATCAGTTTTGTCCAAACGGCCAATCAAGAAAAAAAGAAAATATCAAACAGCCGATGAGGATTTCAACTTGAATTGATAAAAGTGAACTGCTTTGAGCGCGGGAAAGCACAAGAGACTAAGCCACTATTCGTTTTAGTTTTGCAATCTAGTACTAATCTCAGGGCCGAGCAGAGCAAACACGAACACAACTTGTATTATTTTTGACAATTACTTGTTGCCAAGCAACACTGACTTTATAATTTATTGTTTTCGAATGACGGTAGCTTACAGATGCTGGATTAACCCTTTAAACCCTAAGAGTGACGAGCATTAAATTTCTCCATACAATATCACACCTAAATTACACGTTAAGGTCATGAGAATAAAGAGAATGATCACCAACGAAAGATGCTTTTGATTGATAAGCAAATTCTCCTTGTCAGCACCTTAGGAAATGTATAAAGAACAGCATGGACAATATGCATAATGATTTTAAGGTGTAAAGGGTTGTTTGGGCCTGATCTGCTGTACTAAAACGCGCAGAAACTAACCGAATGCACGACTTACATCCTGATCCCAAAGCCTTAGTTCAACATTGGTAAACCTCCAAGATTACATTCGGAACTTTGATTGAAATAGCTATTCACATGGCCTTGGATTCTCGGTAACGTCGTGTTCATGTCAACGCATCGTAGGCAGACATTCAGTTACCTGGATAGCCCTTGGGAGGGTGAGTACGCAACAGTGCTGCTTTACTTGAGGTACCTGTCTGCACGCGGACACCAAAAACGGCTAGATCCACGGCCTCCTGACTCAGTTTCGCTGAACCTGCAGGAGTCTGGTTCTCGATCGTCCACTCGTGGATTGAACCATCTGCTCGGAGCTCAAATGATCCCGTTCCTTGAAGCGTAAAAATCAAGTATGGTGATAGATATTACACTGACGGTTTGCACAGGCATAACAACGCACGACCGAATTGATTTCACGTTCACGTGCCAAACGAGACGGACTGTGAGGCAAAGACTGTGGGGCCTGATGATGTCAAACGACTTTGAAGGGTTTTTTTTCTCAAGTTTCGTATGATATAACTTCAAGGTCTGACTTACCCAGGCCTCCTAGTGGAACAGCACTACGCATACCCATTGGAGGTGACCGCTGTATTTTTGGATCGCCAGGGTTTTGAAACAAGTAGCTTCTTAGTCCCAGTGTATCCCAGCCAAATCGAATAGTAGAAACGTTTTCTGGTTCAGTATATAACACACAGAACTGCTGCAAGCCAAAACTCTGATTGGCGTAAACAAACGAAGGACCATTGCGGAACTGAAGGGCGTTGAGATATGGGACAAGATCATCTGTCTTTCCTGTAAAAAAAATATAAGAACAGCGCTGTGCTGCTGAGAAGTCCCGGTTCAATTTGCGCAAGGTTGTCAATATGCTTACGGGTGGTATTCCATAACGTTTTTGAAAACATCCTTTAGATGCTGCGTACCCAGTAACAAGGGACACTCGAGATGCGTGACACGGTGCGATGCACGCAGCAATCAGGGCCGCCGATCCTTAAGGCCAGCACCTCTTTTCGGCTGAGCTGCGCGCTTTGAGTATGACGAGAAACAATTCTCCTGTCCATTTTCCCATTTTGTTTGTTTAACTAGGAACCGGTACAAGCTACTGGTCTCTGAGGCTTACTAAGAGGATTTCAGTTTTGAGTCAGAGATATAGGATGTTAGTCGAGGGCCACATCAACCTTTTGGATTTGATAATCACTGAAAATGATTATCGAAAAATAGAACGCTAAGATCTCCACATGGAAAAAGGAAAAGAGTTTTGCATTCAAATCCAGGTGTCAAGAAATAATTATTGAGATTTTCGCCTTAAAAAATTTTAAATGGCTGGGACCGAAAGAAAAAATTGCACCACCCACCCCCTACCCTCACCCTCGACAATCCAACGCTTTGCCTCGCCGTAATCCTGCGGTGATAGCGTCATTTTGCAGCGTAGTAGTTAAGCCTCTAGATACCCCTTCAACTGGACTAGCCCAAAACTCTTCTCTCCTGCAAACTGAAATTTGTTGGTGAGTGTTTGAATGAGGAAGAATGCAGTTATCACGGTAACACTGTTCTCGAGATCCCGATGGTCGGGCTACAGTGTGTTTGATAACTGAAACGAAGCTTCAGAGGTCACGGAAAGGCGCCTCTTGTCCATTTCGGTTACCGAGGTTTCGTTTTCAATATGAATCATAAATAACCAATTGCTGCCAAGCAAGCCACTAAGGTTACATAATATAATAAAAGCCTGAAATTTGCTGGGACTCATCAAACTATGCATCGAGTTGCGTCACCATTCGAATCGTGAACTATGCACTGAAAGCGTTCTAAGTAGTGCAATCGAATACGTTATAACCAGGGCAAACACCAGCAGTATGTTTATCCAGGGTTTTTGAGACCGGTGGTGGATCGTTGGGACCGGTTGTTTACATTCGCAGATTTTCGATATATTTTCCCATTGCTTGCTTCCATTATTTTCATAAAAGTAACAAGAGGAAAAGCTCGGTCATCCTGTTCAGTAAAAATCGCTGTAAAGTTATGAGTATTTTTTCGTTTTCGATGAATGTCCGTCTTCGCAGTCTATGGTAATGAGCGTCTACATTTGCTCAAATTAAACTCGCGGTGCTTCACTCGAGATTTATATTATTATCAACGTCGGCCGTTAAGACCTAAACTTCCAAAAGCGATCAAAGGGAACTTTGTTTGCCTATACATGAAAGGATGGTTTGTGGATCATAATTTAGGATTTTTGAGTAGCTAGCAGGTGAGATTGTGAAAATACCTGCAGTATTTACCAAGCATGATAGTCACGGAATGACCACGAATAAATACAAGCGATTTAAATGATTTGTTCTGCCTTTGTATGTTGTGGTGTGTGCATCGAAAGCAAAACAACATTCACATGTGTTCTAGAGAATGAAGATAATCTCCTATTTCATACTGACAAGGAAGAGTGATAATGTAAAATAGTACCTGCAAAAATCGTCCCGACCTGGCAAAGAAGGAGAGCGAAGAGCACCGACATCTTTGAAAATAGTCTGGAAACAGCATGTGACCCACAGTGTCACCGGAGCGGAAGTGATTTGATTAATATGCAATGGGAGGTCAGATTGCAGTCAAGTAAATCGAAACACGTACGTTTCACTGGATCAAAATTATAATTCTAATTCATTATGCAAAATACCACAACTTTCGTGTGATATAGGTCAAGAAAACTGGCTCTGTTACTAAGATCTTGCGTGACTTAACTTTTTCTCCTGTTAATTCGGAAACTATTAAGGGTCTGTTTACATGAAGGTGGGGGACCCCAGGTAGGTGACGTAACCCGCCTAGCCATGGTCGAAAA